CGGCCTTGCTGAAGGTGATGGGGATCTCGGACCATGGGCGATAGCTGGGGTTGGTGGTGGTTTCTTCTGAAGTGACGGCGAGCACTCGTCGGGCGGCGAGCTTCCATTCTCATTTGCTCTCGGCGGAGGCGAGTCCCCCGAAGATGGTGGCGACCACCTTGTCATGGTCCTGGAAGGCATTGTTATTGCCCCCAGGTGGTCGGTGGCCTCCATTCCCGCCATTGGCGTCGTCGTCCAGCTTTTTGTCCTGGAACTCCTTGGCCAAGCCGAGGCAGTCTTTCATCTTGTGTTTGGCATTCTTGTGGAGGGGGCATGGGCCATCGAGGATCTTCTTGTATTGCTCGTCATAGTTGCGCTTGGCGTGAGGCTCATTGATGGCAGCGACAAAGTGGTCTAGCCGGCGGCGGCGATTCTGACCGGGCTTGGATCCTTCTGGCCGATCATGGCTGCTGTCCCGGTGGAAACTGCGGTCGTTGTGGCATCGGTTGTCGAGGCGGTCGTCGTAGCGGTGAGGCGGGTGATTTGTGCCAGTATCTTCATTGAAACGCACCTCAGCTTCCTCGGCGTTGGCATACTAGTTGGCGGTCGTGATCATCTCGCCGATGCCCGTAGGTGGCTTGCGGTTGAACTTGGAACGGAGCTCGCGGTGATGAAGTCCTCGAATGAAGGCGGTGATGACCTCAGCTTTTGTGATGTTGGGAATAGAATTTCTCATCTCGGAAAAGCATCTGATGTAGCTGCGGAGGAGCTCCGACGGCTTTTGGGTGATGCGGTTGAGATCATGCTTGGTGCCCGGCCGCGTACACGTAGCCAAGTAATTGTCGGTGAAGACTTTCTTCTGCTCTTCCCAAGATCCGATGGAATCCGGGGCAAGGCTTGTGAACCAGCTCATGGCGGCTGGCGTGAGCATGACGGGGAGATAATTCGCCATGACGTTGATGTCGCCTCCGGCGGTGCGAACAATAGTGGCGTAAGCCTGCAGCCACTGAGTTGGGTTCATCCTTCCTTCATGGGGCTCAACCCCTATGATTTTAAAGCCACGGGGCCACTGGAGTGTTCGGAGCGCCCTGGTGAATGCCGGAGGACCTTCCGGATTATCAGCGCCGTTGTCTGTAGCGTTGCCGGCAGCTATCGACTCTAGAGCTGAATTCGGGTTACTGTACTCTTGCTTGTACTCCTGATGGCGGCGTACCTCTTCTTCATGGCGACCGAAGCAACGTTGCTCGATGTGCCGTCGTGCATCCCGTAAGTTGCTGAGGTGCACTCGATCGTCCTGTTCGATCTCCTGGTCGTGCTGGCGATGGTGCTCGGCGCGGTGGCCCCCGACTCCCCCCTGGAGAGGTAATGGCTGGTCGGTGAACCGGCTTTGACTGGGGCGGCGATTGGATCTAGGCACAGCTGATCGGCGAATCGTGCTCGTGGAGCACGAAGGTCTCTGATCCTCTCAGATCTCATTGACGTGACAGTGTGCCACTTTAAGCATACCGGCCACCTTGGCGAGCTCCGGCGTCTGCGGAAGGCGGGCGAGCTCGTTGGCGGCCACCGCTAGATTGGTGCTCGGAGTCTTGAAGACGTCGTGGCCATCAACGCAGAGAAACTCTTCGTCAAGGTTGCGATGGAGCGGCCTTCCATGCAAGTCGAATTGGTTGTCACGAGTGGCCTCGGCCATCACAAGGGCGCGCTCGTTTTCACGGCGCTACGCGCGGTTGACGTTTCGGTTTTCACGAGCGGCGCGTTCCTCATCAGTTTCGCCGTTCCGAGGAGGGCTGTCGATGCTGACGTTGAAGATCGCACCACCCCAGAAAGGCGGGAGAGGGGGTTGCTCGGTGAAGGTTGCGGTGAGGGTGTCTGTAGAGCCCTGGGATTCGGAGTCCTGATTTTCCTCCAGGATGGTCTGGTGGGATGCTCCGGGGCATCGACTAACATGCAGCATGTTGACCATCGGCGGGAGCTGTCGACGACCTGGTCGGCGAGAGGATGGATATCTCCCACCTGGTCGATGAATTTGCACCTTAGGGCGTCTTGGTATGTAGCGGCGGCGTTGGTGAGCCCAAAGGGTAGGGCTGCAACCCCCAGAGTTTGTCGAGCAACTTCTGGTAGATCTGGATCGGAGGGTGGTCGGCGCTGAACGAAAGTGTCCAGAGCCGACTCGGCGACGGAGAGGCAATCAGCGAGCTTTAGACCGACCCGATCGATGGATTCGATCAGATCGTCATTGTTGATGTGCCTCCTGTGGTAGCGAGGAAGCGGACGACGAGTCGTTGGTGAAGATGACCTCGGAAGTGGTTCCATGATCGGATCTGCAGTTGCAGGTGCGGGAGTGGTCGGCGCAGAACGGATCTGCACCGGCTCGAGGAGCTCTCCGACTTCGTTAGCGTTGATGACCCACGAGATGGATCCGACCATGAAGATCTAGCCGGGCTGCGGGAGGGACGAAGAGCCTGCGGAAAAAGCCATCTTGTTCGACAAGGAAACAGCACACACACCCCTACCTGGCGCGCCAACTGTTGATAGAATATCATCGATAGCCCTCTAAGGGGTATTCTACGAAGGTAGATTGATTGGCAGAGGAGCGCGTGATCAAGAACAAGAAGGCAACAGAGACACACGAGTTATATAGGTTCAGGCCGTCAGTATGACGTAATACCTTACTCCTGTGGTCTGTTGGTTTGTATTAGCTATCGTATGATATGCCATGATTTTTTTAGGAGGTCCCTGCCCGCCTTATATAGTCTGGGGGGCAGGGTTACAAGTCGGTTAGATCTAAGAGATAACCGAAAAGTAATAACAGATTACAAGAATCATGGGATCATACGTATCCTAACAGATCTCATAGTATCCTCAAGATATCTCTCCCATGTCTTGCGGAAGGCGCCGAGCAAAGTCGTGCCCCGCAAGGCTTCGTCTTGTGGGCTGGGCCACCCCTAGGGCGCAGCCCATATGGTCTGCCGTGGGTATCCGGGGTCATACCCCCCACAGCTGCGGTAGGGCCACACCCCGGATTCTATGTAAGGGCAGCCAGGGCACCCTTCAAAGGCATCGAACTCTCAAAACCTTCATTCGAGCGGTCCATCTTCTAGCTCTAGCTCCACTCTCCTACCTCTTCTACCATTCTTGCACTCCCATTGTAAGAACTTCAAAGCATTCAAGCGAGGAACACGCACAAGATCTTCTCTGAGACTAGACATAGGGCTCTGGCCTGAACCAGTATAATTCCTAGTGTCCTTTGGATGCTATCATCGTCTTCCTGGAGTAGCGCAACCTTTGTATAAATTTACTAGTCGGTCTACAAAATACCGACAAAAGCCGCATCTTTGGCATGGCTAGTGGTGGCTGGTAACCCAACAGGTCCTTGATTATATCATCTTCGTTAAACTTTTAAGAAGGCGTCTCCCTCAATAAATGTGACTAAATATTAACAACACAATGGATGTTTTATGACAAACATGGCATGAACATAGAGCAATTCATCAATAAATGTTTTTGTTTATGACGTTAGAGGAGCTAAAAAAAGTGCTGCAACGATCCTCGTTAGCAGGAACATCAAGCACCGCTCAACAAGCATCATAGTTAATTTATAGGAGATAAAAGATATTGGTAGGAAAACACAGCACAAGTAGCATAGTTAATTTGTAGAGAGATAAAAATAGAAAAAATAAAATTAAAGCGCAGTACATCATGCACTACTGCTACTGTGAAAATAGGAAAATAAAATTGAAGTGCCTATAGAAGGATAGCTCGGTAGTATGTCATGCACTACTGTTATTGAGAAAATTGGAAATAAAATTAAAGTGCCTATAGAAGGATAGCTCGGTAGTACATAATGAACTGCTGAGATAATAGGAAAATAAAGCGCTACTAAAATAGGAAAATAAAAATTGAACTGCAAAACAACCTTCCTCGTTGGTGCTCTAAGCTGCATTGTGCTGACCACCAAGCTACAAAATAGCTAATCGTAGGAATCCAATTTTTCTTATATACCTTTTATAATTCAGTGTCCAATGAATATTAGGCCGCCACATTGAGTAAGCTGTGGGTCCGCCCCTGCAGACCTCGAGTCACATTGCTCCTCAATTGTCAAACTTTTGAAGGAAAAGAGTGGATTGAGTTCTCAGCTACTACCTTTCATTGTGAAAGAGGCAGTAGAAGCAGGTGGACTTCTGCGAGTGGACGATCGTCCATACGAAGAGAGAGCAGAATAGCGTGGCCCATGAACTCGCGCAATTGGCGAAGAGAACACGACATTCTACCATCTGATGTTTTATTTCTCCAATATGTGTAGAGCATATATAGTTGCTAGGGAATGTAATACTTTCTCTAAGTGATTAGTAGAGCTCACTACTGGATACAGGAGCTTTACCGAGTGCCAAAGCCCTAAAAACACTCAGCAAAACGTTTGCCGAGTGTTACACTTCAGACAAGCAATAGAGTTTCACTAGGCTTTAGGAATGATCTTTCTCATAAAATGATGGCGGACCACATATATTTGCACGTCTTTATCAGGAAAAATTGGTAACGAGTAGTGCATGTCATTGCATTAAGAAAGGCAAACGCAGTACAAAGGTTCCAATTCCATTACAATGCCTGACTTCCTTCTCACATCGCTCATCGTAAAGTATAATGATGTAATGTCAGGATATATAATAACGCTACTATATCGAAGGACGTAAAAATACAACAAAACGCCCTTGTTATCTAATATTACAATGCTCTAAACCAGGGAAAAGGCAGACAATATATATATATATATATATATATATATATATATATATATATATATATATATATATATATATATATATATATATATATATATATATATATATATATTAGGCCGCATATATATATATACTGCATGCAGGAAGATCAGACAAGATCGATGCCCGGCCGGACCACTTGGCTGAAACGCAATCGAATTTGGAAAAGCGAGAACTAGTGAACTAGATGATGATCATATGCATCATCAGGAATCAGATAACATGCATGCAGATGCATGTTCATCAAGCCAGGCATGCCAGGCCCTCGGCACTGCCCTTGGCGGTGCCCTTGGCGTTGTTGCACACGGCCATGGTCTTGTTGTTTTTGCCGGCGTACTCCACGTTGACATCGATGAGCGACACGCCGCTGCATGGCTGTGACTGCGAGCAGAGCAGGCTGATGGCCTGTGGCGTGGACGACGTGCCCGTGATGTTGCGGAACGTGACGTCCTTGACGATGACATGCGAGGAGTTGCTCTGCTTGCCGGGGCACACCTTCTGGGGGCAGAAGTACTGGTCGATGATGATGGGGTTCGCCACCTCCTCCATCCTGATGTTCTCGAAGGTTAGATGCGACGCCGTCAGCACAGACTCGGCGTCCTCGTACGACTTGATGCGCACGCCGTTGGTGGTTTTCTTGAGCACGCAGTCCCGCACCGTCACGTCCTTGACATCCTTCTCGTCCTTGTAGCGGCCTAGGCAGCCGATGCTGATGCCCTGCCCGGGGCCGCAGATGATGCTGTTCACCATGACGCCGTCGCTCCCGGGGCCAACGGAGACGCAGTCGTCGCCGGTGCCGATGGTTGAGTTGGTGATGCTCACCTTGGAGGACTCTCCGACATGGACGCCATCCGTGTTCTCAACGTCCCCGGGCGCAGTGATGTTCACGTCCTTCACCGTGATGTTCTTTGAAGCGTCGATGTTGATGTGGAAGAACTTGGAGTTGAGTAGTTTGATTCCGGAGACAGTGCCGTTGGTCACGTAGAACAGCACCAATGTCTGCATCACATCACGCACGCGCATACGTGAGTCCCGTTCGGTCCGTAATATAAATATAATAATTAAGGTGAGCATCGCACGTACGTTCGGCATCGCCTTCACGGTGTCGGTCTTGGTCTTGGTATAAACGGCGGTGCCCTGACCGTCGAGCGTGCCCGAGCCGGTGATGACGATATTGTCGACGTGCGACACCTCGATCCAGCTCGCCGTGTACTTGGCCAGGTCGTTGGATCCCAGCAGGTTGCCATCGAGCTGGATGGTGATGGCGCCCTTGCACGGGCCACTGAAGTTGAGAGGGCCGACCAGGTAGTCGCCCTTGGGGATGAGCACCGTGGCGCTTCCGGTCGCTCCGCACGCTGACGTCCACGCGTCTTGGACCGCCTATAAATAGATCATGCAGCGCATGCATCAATCACCACCGTCAGCATGAATGACATCATATCGATCAGATAAACTGCCTCTGCAAAACCATAAATCTATAGTGTTGGCACTTATTTACATTTACCTTTGTGGAGTCCGTCTTGTCGTCGTTGGTCGCGCCGAGCTTAGAGATGTCGAACGTCCCGCTGGCTCCAGCCGCCTTGGTGGCGCCTTCCGAAGCTGCGGCGCCTCCAGATGCAGCAGGGGCTGCCGTCGAGTCTCCCGTCTTTGCTCCGGTCCTTTTTGCTGTGCATACCGCGCTTACAACCGCTAGGATGAAGAACACCCTGAGAGCATTGTTTGCAGAAGCCATTTCTCCTTGGGGTGGCCGGCTCTCCTCGCCGCTGGGTAGATGGATGTTCCGTAAGATATCCTTGCTTGAGAGAGAGGAGCACCGTTTGCTATGTACACGAAATGACCGTCTGGCCTTTGCTATTTTGAGGCAATGCTTGAATAGGGCACTCCTGTCCTCTGGTTTTTACAGGTCCTTGACCAACTCTTCCCGTTTCCAAGGTCCAAGTGATGCGGATACTGCACAAGGCAACCTCATGACGTTTTACCAATCGTATCCCGAGATATGCTAGTCTCAGCTGGCATATTGTGAACTTTTGTGCACATGCAAATTTCCTCAATTGATTCTATTTATTACATATGATAGTCTATTCCAGGCTTACGGCAGATCCTATATATATATATATATATATATATATATATATATATATATATATATATATATATATATATATATATATATATATATATATTCAGTAGCTAGCTATAAAATAAGTTATTCTGTAGCCACCTCCATTTACGATAATTTTACATACTAATTTACGATAATATCAATACATATTTACGAAAGTTGTGTTACTATAACACATGGGGATATTTACCATAACGTTATAGTAAATTACTTAGTAAGGGGTTACTATAATCTTGTAAATTAACATAGTAATTATCGTAACTCAAAGTGGCTACAAAATAAGTTATTTTGTAGCCAGCTACAGGGTAGTAGTTCTCTCTCTCTCTATATGTGTGTGTGTGTGTGCGCGCGCGCGCCCCCGCGCACGCGTGTGTGTGTCATAGATTGGCGCACACGCGTGTGTGTTATAGATTGATCTCTTACAATTGGCCCAACGGTCAATTGGGCACTAGAATCTGCGCCCTAATCGGGGGCGTCCAACCGTTCCATGGTTGGTGGGCCCCCGTCGCACAGCGCCATAAAAATGGAGGTGGGGGCCGGGGCACAAGGTACAAGGTTCACCTGAGCCGCCAGACGCCCCACCTACAGTCCCTAAACCCTAAACTGATCTAGTGATGGGGCGTTGCCAGCGACAGGAAGACCGCCACCGGCCACCGCCGCTACTGTGTTCGCGACTTCACCGCCGGACCTCACCGCGTCACTAACAAGGATGCCATGGCAAGCTTGTCTTCTAAGAAGGTGGCCGATGGTTTGCACATCCGCAACCCCTCTCTCACTCTCTATCTCTCTCTTTCTCTCTATTTCTCGCTTTAGCTTATGTTCTAGGGTTTACACTTAATCAAATGTTAGCATGTATGCTAGATCTATGGCTAGTGATCATGTTATGCTTCTATCAACGGTATCAGTCGCCTAACTAGGCGTAGATCTAGCTCTTGCAGTAGATCAGATCAAAAGAAATCAAGAACGAGATGAATCGGATTGAAAACCGAGTAGAAGAAATTTTGAAGGAGGTGATTCAAATCGGATCGAACTCCAACCCGTAACCCTAACCCTAACCCTAACCCTAGAGTAAGGACGAAGGAGGGGAGGACCTACCCGGACTCCCCGCCGCGCGTCACCACCGCCGTCGCGCGGGTTGAATCCCGCCGTCGTGCGAGCAGAATGGGCCAAGCCACTGCATGACATTTAGTCTCCGACGCGCAGGCTCTAGGCGCCGACAAAGGACCGCTCGATGATGGCACGCTCACCCACTGGGGAGCGCGCGCTCCGTCGAGGGGACCCACAGCGGCGCCGCACTTTTCTTCTCTGATGACGGTCACACTGAGGAGAAAAGGGGAAGATCTAGGGTTTAGGGTGAGCCCACCGGAGCGCGTGTGGGGATCATGTCACCATCGCCTAGACCGCTCGACGGCGGTGCAATCAGCCTAGGGCGAGCACGCACCCTGGTGAGAGGACCAGCGGCGGAGCCGCATCGGTGTTCTTCTTTTGGCCACGGCGTTGAGGACAGGAGACAGAGAGAGAAAAGAATGAAAAGAGTGAGCTAGGGTTCGGGGAGCATCGCCGATGCCGGGATTTTGATCCGGCGAGATCAACGCGCTGTCGTCGATCTCCATCCAACGGCTAAGAACCATCGGGTCGGATACAGCCCAGGCGTGGGGGACCAGGCGCGCGCGCCGGGTTTTGGGCCGCTGCTGGGCCGAGCACTGTTTCAATGGGCTGGACCAAATGAACAGTAGAAACTAAGTTATTGTTTTATTGATCTTCAGAAGCAAATTTTGATATTTTTTTGTCCAGTTTCAATCTCTGTCAAAATTTGAACCAACGGGATAATTTTTTCAAAGAGTAGATTAGTACAGTAAAATGCTTCTGAAAAGTAGATAAATATTTTTTTCATGTTTCCGCTGCAATGTTAAAGTTTATTATCTTCTAATTAAATTCTAACCAACGAGAGAATTTAATTGGAAGAGTAGTTGAATTTTATTCAGTAAATTATAATATTGTTATTTTTCTGACCAATGTTGGTAATAACAATATTATAATGTTTATTCATAAGTTTTCCATGTATTAATTTTATTTCTGCCCAACGGTGATGTAGAATTAGTGTATAAGAATGTTGTATGTTTTAATTTTGGCCAATGTAAAATTAAAGCATGCAATTATGATGTCATATTTTCTCACTATCTCTGACGGTGTTTTTCAGGACTCAACCTAATGGCTTTTATCTCGCACATACCACCTCTTGAAGGGGGAAACTACAGGGTATGGCAAGAGAAGTATGAACTGGCACTTGCGTTGTCTGAAAATGACCTAGTGCTTACCTGCCCGTGTCCTACTGAGCCAGTGGACCCGGTGAGGGAAGATAATGGGACTGATGTTGATTTCACTGCTCGGCAGCGAGACCATGCAGAAGTGTGGATGAAATATGATCTCGAACACAAGAAATGGGACATTTTAAACCGCAAGTGCTTGATGGTGGCTAAGTCTATAATTTCAGATGCAATAAGAGGGTCTATCCCAGATTGTGATACCGCCATAGAGTATCTTAAGAAGGTGGAGCTAGTTCACTAGCTCTTCAAAGGCTTATGCTTGTACTTTGATCAAGAAATTCTTCAATGAGAAATATACTGGTGGCGGTATTAGAGAGCACATACTGAAGATGAGCAACATGGCTTCGAAGCTGAAGCTAATGGATTTGGGGCTCAAGGATGAGTTCTTGATTCATTTGGTTTTTGCTTCATTGCCAAAGGAATATGAAACTTTTGTTATTAATTACAACATGCAGCCCGATAAGTGGGATATAGAGAAGCTCATCGCAATGTGTGTTCAAGAAGAGGAGAGGCTGAAATCCTTACAGGGTGACTCTGCTAACCTTGTGAAGGACAATAAGAAAAAGAACTTCAATAAGAATGCCAAACCTCAAGGAAAAGCCCCTCAAAATGACTATCATTAGAAGAACAACAATGCTCAAGTTGAGAAGGATCAGTATAAATGGTCCAAGAGGCATGGACATTACCAGAGGAACTGTCCAGACTTCCTAAAGAGCCTTCTGAAGAGAGGTGAGGATTTCATTATATTCATAGATGAATCCTTGTATTTAAGTTATAGAAAATCTACTTGGTGGATTGATTCAGGTGCAACTATTTATGTTGCAAATTCATTATAGGGATTCCATATGAGGAGAACCTTGCAAAGAGGAGAAAGAAGGATTAAAGTAGCAAATGGAGTTGAAGCTAAAGTTGAAACCATTGGAGATCTCTCTCTAGAATTAGATGATAGTTTTAGACTACAGCTTTCAGATATTCTTTATGTACCCTCTTTGCGTAGAAACTTGATAAGTGTCTCATGACTAGATGATGATGGATATGATTGTCATTTTGGTAATGGCAAATGTTGGATTGTGATTAATAATAAGTGTGTCGGTCTTGCCTTCCGACAAGACAAGCTTTATTTATTATCACTTTCTGATAATGTGAATGATGTGAGCACTGAGAATAAGAATGCTTCCTCATCTATGAATGCAACAAATAAGCAGAAGAGAGTGCATGATGTATCTTCGAAATTATGGCACTATCGTTTAGGCCATATTTCGAGGGGGAGAATAGAGCGATTGATTAAGAAATCAATTCTTCGGCCTTTAGAATTTTCAGATTTGGAACAATGCATAGATTGCATAAAAGAAAAGTACGTTAAGAAAATAAAGAAAGATGCCAAATGAAGCGCAGGAATTTTAGAAATAGTTCACACAGACATCTGTGGTCCTTTTCCTATGAAGAGTGTGGATGGTTATGATTCATTTATAATATTCACAGATGACTATTCTTGTTTTGGCTATATTTATCCAATTAAGGAAAGATCAGAAGCGTTGGATAAATTTAAGATTTTTAAGGCTGAAGTAGAAAATCAGCACAACTTAAAGACTAAGGTAGTAAGGTCTGACCGTGGAGGAGAGTACTACTGTCAACACACCCCATATGGCCAAGTTTCTAGACCCTTTGCAAGGTTCTTACAGGAAAATGGCATAGTAGTCTAGTATTCTACACCGGGCGAGCTTCAGTAGAATGGAGTAGCTGAAAGACACAACTGTACCTTAATGGATATGGTGAGAAGCATGATAAGTTACTCTACCCTACCGATAAGTTTATAGATGAAGGCGTTAAAAACCGCCATTCATATTCTTAATCGAGTGCCAAGCAAGTCGGTGCCCAAAACGCCGTATGAGTTGTTCATAGGAAAGGAACCCTCTCTTAACTATTTATGTGTGTGGGGTTGTCCAGCTGAGGCAAAAGTTTTTAACCCAAACATAGGGAAGCTAGACTCTAAGACAGCCAGTTGCCATTTCGTTGGCTATTCAGAAAAGTCAAAAGGTTATCACTTCTATTGTCCTTACAGACAAACGAAGTTTGTATAAACAAGACATGCTATCTTCTTAGAGGATGATATGATCAGGGGGAGCATGGTAGCACGAGAAATTAGTTTTGAAGAGAAGCGGGTATACATGCCCACTCCTATGGTTCAGGAGCCATTCTTCATGCTACATGTTGTTGCTGTACCAACAGTGCAAGACATTGTAGTAACAACACCTGTTGTTAGTTCTCCTATGGCAACAATGA